CTAACTAACTAACTAACTAACACTAACTAACTAACTACTAACTAACTAACTAACTAACTAACTAACTCTAACTACTAACTACTACTAACTAACTAACTACTAACTAACTAACTAACTACTAACTACTAACTAACTACTAACTAACTAACTAACTAACTAACTACTAACTAACTAACTAACTAACTACTAACTAACTAACTAACTACTAACTAACTAACTACTAACTAACTAACTAACTAACTACTAACTAACTAACTAACTACTACTAACTAACTAACTAACTAACTAACTAACTAACTAACTAACTAACTAACTAACTACTACTAACTAACTAACTAACTACTACTAACTAACTACTAACTAACTAACTAACTACTAACTAACTACTAACTAAACTAACTAACTAACTAACTACTAACTAACTAACTAACTAACTACTACTCTAACTAACTAACTAACTAACTAACTACTAACTAACTCTAACTAACTAACTAACTAACTAACTAACTAACTAACTAACTACTAACTAACTAACTAACTACTAACTAACTAACTAACTACTAACTAACTAACTAACTAACTAACTAACTAACTAACTACTAACTAACTAACTACTAACTACTAACTAACTACTAACTAACTAACTAACTAACACTAACTAACTAACAACTAACTACTAACTACTAACTAACTAACTAACTAACGTAAACGGAACTAACGACTAAACCTAACTACCTAACTTACTAAATACTACCTAACTAACTAACTAACTAACTAACTAAACTAACTAACTAACTAACTAACTAACTATTATAGACAAGTTTTTTTAAAGCTTTCATCCAGTAAAGTTTGTTAACAATTTTTAGAAATAATTATCAAATGAATTCAAATTTTCAATTTTCAGCAATTTTTATGAAAAAATTATTTTAATAACTTAACTAACTGTTGCTTTTTATTCTTGTATTTTAGCATAACTGAACATTTTGAAATCCAGGCTACTTTAATAAAACTGTAAGTATTATCTCAACTTTTGTAACAAAATATATGTCACTTTTATCTAGTCTTTATCAACACCCTAAACTTACGCCAAATAAATTTACACCCCCAAACCACAACATGTTATTGGTTTTGTGGGTTTCTACCATAAAATGAAAACTAGAAGAAAAAACAGCACAACTATGGCTAGACAAACAAATAATAGAGTAAATTATTAAGTAGCTTAATGTCTAGTCTAGCAAACATATGCAATTTGTTAGGGCGGGAGGGGTAGATAAGCGTCGAAAGAAAATTATTATAGTTTTTTAATAGAAAAAAGATTGCTATCTTTTAAGGAGCATTGAAAAGGAAACAAAATAAAAATAATAACAATATCTTTAAAAAAACTAGCAATAACAACAACATCAACTATTAATGATAGAACGAACTACTTGCATGTTTATCTTGACGTTTGCATGTTAAAGTTACATTTTCCAACTAAACATGTGAGGAGCTCTTTAGCTAAAGCGGAACAGAACAAAAACCCATAACATGTACGAAGAATCTAGTTGTTGTTTTTTCTATTTTAAATAATTTTCCGGTTGTCGTTGTTACTTGACTTGTCACTCACTCACTAACTCACTGGCAATCTCTTTCATATACTTTAATGTTGAGTACGTGTTGGTATAAAAGAATAACAACTACATGTTTACATTAGGGTGGATCCAATTGTTAAAAATATGCAAAAAACTAAACAGTTACTTGATTCCCATTAAATCCTGCCATCCTAATGTATATGTATGTGTGTGTTTTAGCTCACGTTTACATATAAAAAAAGGCACTTAAACTTTGCATGTAGGAGTGCTTGTATTGTTGGTTATTTTTTATTTTATTTTAGTTTATTTTTTTATATTGTTATTTCTTTCATTTTAATATCCTCTTTTATTTCCGTTCTTATTTTGCTTGTTATAAATGTTACGAGTGCATATGTGTTAGTATTTGAGAGTGTTGTTTAATAGTAAAAACATTTAAAGAAAACAAATTTCTTTAGCCCCCTAGAGCTTTAGCAAAAAGAGCCAACAACAACAACAACTAGAAAAGAAATACCTGTTAAATGGAAATGGTTTGCAATAACCAATTGAAGGTGGATTTGAAAGCTAATAAAACAATAATAATAAATTAACACAAAAATAAAGGGAAATTCCATATTATAGTCTAGTCTATAGATAAGACTATAGTATAGTCCAGTCTATAGTATAGACTATAGTCTAGTCTATAGTCTAGTCTATAGTCTAGGCTATAGTCTAGTCTATAGTCTAGTCTATAGTCTAGTCTATAGTCTAGTTATAGTCTAGTCTATAGACTAGTCTATAGTCTAGTCTATAGTCTAGTCTAGTCTAGTCATAGTCTAGTCTATCTCTAGTCTATAGTCTAGTCTATAGTCTAGTCTATAGTCTAGTCTATAGTCTAGTCTATAGTCTAGTCTATAGTCTAGTCTATAGTCTAGTCTATAGTCTAGTCTATAGTCTAGTCTATAGTCTAGTCTATAGTCTAGTCTATAGTCTAGTCTATAGTCTAGTCTATAGTCTAGTCTATAGTCTAGTCTATAGTCTAGTCTATAGTCTAGTCTATAGTCTAGTCTATAGTCTAGTCTATAGTCTAGTCTATAGTCTAGTCTATAGTCTAGTCTATAGTCTAGTCTATAGTCTAGTCTATAGTAGTCTATAGTCTAGTCTATAGTCTAGTCTATAGTCTAGTATAGTCTAGTCTATGTCTAGTCTATAGTCTAGTCTATAGTCTAGTCTATAGTCTAGTCTATAGTCTAGTCTATAGTCTAGTCTATAGTCTAGTCTATAGTCTAGTCTATAGTCGAGTCTATAGTCTAGTCTATAGTCTAGTCTATAGTCTAGTCTATAGTCTAGTCTATAGTCTAGTCTATAGTCTAGTCTATAGTCTAGTCTATAGTCTAGTCTATAGTCTAGTCTATAGTCTAGTCTATAGTCTAGTCTATAGTCTAGTCTATAGTCTAGTCTATAGTCTAGTCTATAGTCTAGTCTATAGTCTAGTCTATAGTCTAGTCTATAGTCTAGTCTATAGTCTAGTCTATAGTAGTCTATAGTCTAGTCTATAGCTAGTCTATAGTCTAGTCTATAGTCTAGTCCTATAAGTCTAGTCTAGAGTCTTAGTCGAGTCCTAGTTAAGTCTAGTCTATAATTCTAGTCTATAGTCTAGTCTATAGTCTAGTCTATAGTCTAGTCCTATAGTCGTAGTCTATAGGTCTTCGAGTCTATAGTACTAGTCTATAGTCTAGTCTATAGTCTATGTCTATAGTCTAGTCTATAGGTCAGGTCTATAGTCTAAGTCTATAGTCTAGTCTATAGTCTAGTCTATAGTCTAGTCTATAGTCTAGTCTATAGTCTAGTCTATAGTCTAGTCTATAGTCTAGGCTATAGTCTAGTCTATAGTCTAGTCTAGTAGTCTATAGTCAGTCTATAGTCTAGTCTATAGTCTAGTCTATAGTCTAGTCTATATCTAGTCTAAGTATAGTCTATAGTCTAGTCTATAGTCTAGTCTATGTCCTAGTCTATAGTCATAGTCAGTCTATAGTCTAGTCTATAGTCTAGTCTATAGCTAGTCTATAGTCAGTCTATAGTCTAGTCTATAGTCTAGTCTATAGTCTAGTCTATAGTCTAGTCTATAGTCTAGTCTATAGTCTAGTCTATAGTCTAGTCTATAGTCTAGTCTATAGTCTAGTCTATAGTCTAGTCTATAGTCTAGTCTATAGTCTAGTCTATAGTCTAGTCTATAGTCTAGTCTATAGTCTAGTCTATAGTCTAGTCTATAGTCTAGTCTATAGTCTAGTCTATAGTCTAGTCTATAGTCTAGTCTAGTCTAGTCTATAGTCTAGTCTAGTAGTCTATAGTCTAGTCTATAGTCTAGTCTCTAGTATAGTCTATAGTCTAGTCTATAGTCTAGTCTATAGTCTAGTCTATAGTCTAGCCTATAGTCTAGTCTATAGTCTAGTCTATAGTCTAGCCTATAGTCTAGTCTATAGTCTAGTCTATAGTCTAGTGTATAGTCTAGTCTATAGTCTAGTCTATAGTCTAGTCTATAGTCTAGTGTATAGTCTAGTCTATAGTCTAGTCTATAGTCTAGTCTATAGTCTAGTGTATAGTCTAGTCTATAGTCTAGTGTATAGTCTAGTCTATAGTCTAGTGTATAGTCTAGTCTATAGTCTAGTCTATAGTCTAGTCCATAGTCTAGTCTATAGTCTAGTCTATAGTCTAGTCTATATTCTAGTCTTAGTCTAGTCTATAGTCTAGTCTATAGTCTAGTCTATAGTCTAGTCTATAGTCTATAGTCTAGTCTATAGTCTAGTATAGTCGTCTAGTCTAGTCTATAGTCATAGTCTAGTCTATAGTCTAGTCTATAGTCTAGTCTATAGTCTAGTCTATAGTCTAGTCTATAGTCTAGTCTATAGTCTAGTCTATAGTCTAGTCTATAGTCTAGTCTATAGTCTAGTCTATAGTCTAGTCTATAGTCTAGTCTATAGTCTAGTCTATAGTCTAGTCTATAGTCTAGTCTATAGTCTAGTCTATAGTCTAGTCTATAGTCTAGTCTATAGTCTAGTCTATAGTCTAGTCTATAGTCTAGTCTATAGTCTAGTCTATAGTCTAGTCTAGTCTTGTCTCTAGTCTAGTCTATAGTCTTTTTTTGGTTTGTTTACTGTTTATTGGGCCCTCGTTAAACTTTAGTTGGTGCATTGCCTGACGCCAGGTAATTGCGTGCTTATAATGGTCTCTTTTTAACATAACACACATACATTTATACATATGTATACATGTATGTGTGCAATAACATATGTATGTAAATATATATAAGTCTGTATATTTTAATCAAAAACACTATAAATGATCCATGTTCTTTTCGTTTTTATAAGTTTTTTTCTAGCTTGCAGTCAGTCAGCCCCCTTTTTTCACAACTCTATTTGTTTACACACAGGTAAAGCATACATTTGGGGGATTCCCCCACTACTATATTTAACAGCCAACATATTGAAGTATTTGTAGAGAGCAGCAGCAACAACAACAAGAACCATTTGTGGTTGTAGTTTTAACCCTGACTCTCAAACCAAATGAATGAATGAAAATTCCTTCTGGTTAACAAACGATACACATACACATATGTTTTTAGCCATGTATGTATATGAGGTTGCTTGTAGTAGAGGTTTGTGTGTTTTATTATTGTTGTAGTAAGTATTGTATGGTACTTAACAAAAATGGTTGCATGTTGTTACATTGTATACCTCAGAGGTACATACTCTATCAAACTACTAGATGTGTGTAGACGTGTGAGTAATGAGAGCTTTTTGTTGTATATGTATATAAATATATATAGTTCCGGGAATAATCTCGGAGACAGTAATTAATAAAAGTAAATTAATACTTCAAAATTTTGTAAAAGTATTGTTACAAATGAATTGCTTTACTTTTTAGAATTTAACCATTTCTTGATTTATTTTATTAAAATATCTTTTAATGTCTCATTACTTTTGTTCTGCACTAACTTTATTATCATTTTAATACCTTTTTTGTTACATTGTTTCATTACTGGCTGTAAATTAATATAAAATAAAATAGTATTTACTCTCTTAACACAATCCTCCCTAACACCCCCTACTTTAGTCAATGAGTTGCCATTTTTATAGCAGCTCATCCAGTAATTAACTTTCATCAACTGGTTATTAAACCGGTGTGTGTGGTAAGGGGTGTCTTTGCTAACTCCACCAATCTCTAATCTTCTCTAGATTTACCCTTTCCATGTTACAGCCCACAATCATAGAAATGATTAAGTACCTTGTGTTAAATATCATTTTAAAACTGTTTTTTTTTTATTTTTTTACTTTGTTAAAGTACTTACAATCTAACAACATGTAGTTGCAATTAGAAAACAGAAAATCCTTTATTAATTTTTATTTTAGAAAAAAATTTGCCAACATTATTTGGTCACAGACCTTTCTTTGTGCAATTAACTTT